CAAGCAGCCTTCACGTTTACACACCTCACATCCCTTACGAATTCTCTTGTCACCCCTCGGTCTGGTATGAAAACTTGCCGCTCGAGCATGTCAAGGTGCTGCGCGTCCACCAGGGTACATTGAAGAAGTCGCCGATAAAGGATCTCCGAAGATATTTCCAGCACATGAAGCAACTGGAAGCCCTCGAGGTCATCGATGAGGTCGCCGAATACCTGCTTCCCCAGCTTGCCACCAGGAAGCGTTCTGGACAGGGGGACCACCCCGCTTTGTTTGAATCCGTGAAGCGTCTGAAAGTCCACTTGCGCGTGACATACAGGCCGTCTTACCTGGACCACGATGTTATGATTGAGGGGGCAGCGACACGGATCCCCCTCGTGGTTGACGCCCTCGCGTGCTTCTTGAGTGAGCGTCAGCAAGAGGGAAATGCGATTGAGGAACTGCATATCCATGCACCGTCCTTCTTACTTTCACAAGACGAGTTTAGTCAGGAATTTGAGCCTCTTGTTGGTAGGGCAGTCCTAGAGTCCGTATAACTTGTATTCTATCTGGGTACCGTCCTTGTACCAGCAGCAGCTGTACAGCAGCTAGTATCTGTAGGAAATGTGAAACATACGACATTATGGTCAGAGCAACTGGAGCGCGTACGCACTCACGATCAAGTGTTTTCCGCTTGATCAGAAGACCACGTGCGCTGTGACGTGACCAAGAAGCGTGGCTCTGGACACCAAGTTGAAGTTCAACTGGCCACAACATCCTCAAGTCTGTCCATCCGCACCGTGCCTCAGTCCCTTGGACGAGGTGCTGAAGACATTCTTGGGTATTCCAGGTAATTCTCTCTTGAAGCTATAGAGACTGCCTCGTTTCGTACGATACTAGTAGCACCTGCCGCGATTTCGTTACGGTTCATTACTCTCAACGGTATTCCATCGTCCACAGTTGCTGGCCCTATCTAATGTTTTTTCTCACTCATTCACCCTGTAGATGCTCACAGCTCATAGACCCAAGAACATTGTTAACGAGGGATCGGAGGACTTTGCCAGAGGGAGTACCACTGACACCAATCGGCTTTCACTTGTTTTACCTCGAGGATCACACAGTCCACAGCACCGTTTTCCACCAGAGATACTCGGGTATATATTTCTCTGTGTCCTCGACGATCGCTACAGTGATGTTTTGCTCCCTGTCACCCACGTGTGCCGCTACTGGAGGGACGTTGCGTTGGGCTATCCGAGTTTATGGCGCCAGCCCGACAGCTGTCATCCCGATCTCGTCGAGACTATCATACAGCGCAGCAATAACCTGCGCCTTCATATTGTCATTCAAGCTCTTTCAGAGTACGATGATCAGTCCCCGGACTTCTCCAGGCGAATGGAATCACCCCACTCGCGAAAGATCTATGAAGGTGCTATCAAGTGGAAGTGGTCTCACATCGGACGAGCATCCTCTCTGACACTGTGTGCTGATACCATCGAATTCCAATCATACGCGATGCACGCACTTCGCACGCAAGCCCCGTACTTGGAAACCCCTGGATATCCATCGTATGAAATGGGTGGCCTGCTCTGGCATAGATGCCCTGCATGGTTACTTCCCAAAACTCCGTCACGTATCACTCCACCCCCTGGCCCATGATCGCGCTCCTGGCTTCTTCGGGAGCCTGACATCCCTCACTCTGACATCGGTGTTCGCCGAATGCGAACAGCTGGTGGACATTCTGCAGGACACACCTATGCTAAGAAAGTTCACACTGTGCTCTGACGGCCTTATCCCTTGCGATGATGTCGCAGACTTCACGGTCAAGACGGACAAGTTGCTCGTTGCAAGGCTGCCTCATCTCGAGGAATTCTATATGAGCAGTTACACTGCCTCCGCCTGCGTGCATGTCTTATCCCATCTAATCATCGATCAGCCGGTCAACCTCGTTCTGAAATGCGACCTTCAGAACATACTTTCTGACCGAGCGCCGTCTGCGATGAATCTAGTCAGTCGATTCCTCACAGCCAACCGTCGGATAGTGCATAGATTCGCCGAAATTCATTCGCACGACGATATAATTTTTACGGTGCAGCGTCTGCCCTCAGGCGATGACCGCGACCCTTCACCGAGCCACTTCCGCTTCCATGACTCGGGTAGGTGTTATCCTCAATACTGGCATCGTTACCTGCCCCTCGGAGACGTGCAGACGCTGCGTGTCCACGAAGACATGTTCCCGCACCGCGACCTCCCCAAGGGATGGGAAATCCGTGGGCTCCCGGAAAAGTTCACGTCACTGCAGCAAGTCGAACGTCTGGAAATAGTCGCGGCGGTCGCATGGTACCTCATCCCCCATTTCGCGACAACAGCTCGCTCGACTGACCCGACGCACCCTGCGTTGTTCCCGCGCCTGAAGAGTATCCGGCTGTACTTGCACGAAACCCGCCGGAGCTGGTGCGCTCCGGAGAACATACCCGCGCTGTGCGAGGACGTCTTCGGCGTTCTGGAAAGCTACCTGCGGGAGCGCCACGAAGAGGGGCACCCGATCGAGGAGCTGGGGATCCATGCGCCGTCCGGTATCATCCAGAGCGACGAGCTCAATGCAAGGTTCAGGAATCTCGTTTGCCATCTGCGCTTTCCTTATTCCCCAATGGAGACTTCGTGCTTGCTTTGGAAATGTGATTTGTGCCGATTTTCTTGATGGATATGTGGCACACTATCGATGCCTTCTGGTCTCTACTGGGCCTTCCGTCGATGTCACAGGTCAAGTAGGAGACGATGTGATTTGGGTGAGCCGAGCCAGATGTATAAGTTCGTCCTCCGGGTCCTCTCCTGTGGTCAATGTGGCATTTGATGGCTCCTACAGAATTGTAGCGATGACATTGGTTTGCCGCCAACATGAAGCTATCCCGGGGCCGGAAATATTCATGTTGAGTATCGTAGATAGGGCATGTCCATACTCGTGGCTAAGGTGTATACTCCAAGTTGCCCATGATCACTGTACATTGTCGATCGGCGATGACGGATCGAGTCATAGGCATCTCTTCTTTTCGATCCCGCGACTGGCGTCCCAACGCAGAAGTCATCCCCGACCACACTGAGATGCGACGAAGCACTCGACATCGGCGCACAATCGCGAGCCAGCTTGGTGTGAAACAAATAGTTTAGAAAGCTAATGCTCCAAGATCGAAGACTGAGCTTCATGCGCGCAGGGAATGTGGATGTACATATTATGTCCGAGATGTATGTAGGATATGCCCGCTCTGCAAACGACCTGGCCATGGATGACGCTAACTTGAGAAAACGGGAATCAACCGCTATGTACTTAGGTATCTAGTATTACATTAGACATTTCATTAGGGACATGCTTCTCGTCTGTCCGTCCCATCTACCCGTTCGCTGCCTACTCGTCGTACCCCTTCGGGTTCTTCGTCTGCCAATTCCAGAGATCGCGGCACATCGTCTCGAGGTCCTGCGGCGCCTTGAACCCGAGCTCCTTCTCCGCGAGCGCGGGGTCCGCAGTCAGGTCCGGCACATCTCCGCGCCTGCGTTCCAACGCACCCATTCAGCAGCTAATACCAACCAGAGGACGAACCCAACTCACCTCCGCCCGACGATCTCGTACTTGTAATCAAACCCAGTCGCCTTCCGCATCGCCTCGATAATCTGGAGAACACTCATTCCCTTCCCTTTGCCCAGATTATACGCCTTGATCTTCGCCTCTTGCTCTCCCACGCCCTCCCACACCCGCGAGGTGGGCGCGAGTGCATCCAGGGCGAGGAGGTGGCCCCGCGCGAGGTCGACGACGTGGATGTAGTCGCGCACGCACGTCCCGTCGGGCGTCGGGTAGTCGTTCCCGAAGACCTTGAGGTCCGGCGGGACGCGGCCTACTGCCATGTGCGCGAGCAGCGGGAAGAGGTTGCCCGGGCGCCCGCGCGGCTCCTCGCCGATCAGGCCCGACGGGTGGGCGCCTGCGGGGCTGGGGCTGAGCGTTAGTTCGGGGTGAAGGGGGGGAAATGAGAGGACGAGCGTACTTGAAGTACCGGAGGGAGATGGCGCGCCAGCGCTGGGGTTCGGCTGGCATGGCGGTTAACATGAGTGCATGGAGAGTGGAGGAGGACAAACCTGCGCAGAGATCTTGCAGAATCTGCTCGCACATGACTTTACTCCGACCGTAGGGCGAGTCGGCCTGCAGTCTTGTCGTCTCGGGGATGGGAATCTTCGGGGGCGTGCCGTATACGGTTGCTGACGAGGAATATACAAATCTGCATCATAATACGTCAAGGAGGCGGGCGCGAAGACGATCTGAGGCCACGTACCTTGTGCATTCATACTCGGACATGATTTGGAGGAGGGAGATGGTGGCGGAGACGTTGTTTTGGTAGTATGTCAGCGGGATCTCGGTAGACTCTCCCACTGCCTTGTAAGCCTGTAGTACATCATGTTCAGCCATCCCACCCACCTCCTGATCACGAGCGCAGCACTCACAGCAATGTGGATGACGCCCCATATCCCGCCCTTGCCGTACTTCCCAAATACCGCGCGCACCTCGTCCTCCTTCGTGAGGTCGGCCGCGTGCGCGTCGATCTCGGTGCTCTCCCTGTCCTGCTCGGTCGCGTCCGCGGGCAGGTTCGCCTTTGCGATCTGGGCGACGCGCTCGAGCGCGCGCGGGTGCGAGTTGTGGTGGTTGTCGATGGAGATGACTTTGTAGCGGCGGGTCTCCTGGAGGGCAAAGACGACGTGGGAGCCTGGGGGAGGGTTAGCCGATGGGAGAGAGGAGGCTGGGGAGGGGCTCACCGATGTAGCCGGCACCGCCGGTCACGAGGACGCGCTGCAGCAGACTGGTGTTCAGTCATCGGTGTGGATTGTGTGTTTCCCTGTGCCGCTCACCTTCAGTGTCGTAGACATATCAGCGTATAGATCTTTGTAGGGTGGGCTGGGACCGGGAAACAAGTGCTTTTATACCCTGAAAAGTCTGCGAACTGGTAATCTCGGCTGGCCCAAGGCTCGCAGATTCGAGCGAGAGGTCTGGGGTGTGGTATGGGCTCCCGGGACAGCCTAAACACTAGATCTAACTTGGGATGATCGCGACTGTCCAAAATCGACTGCTGTGTATGACGTCCAGGCGGTAGTGTCGGCCAGTCGGTCCGCAGCATCCGCCAGCCTTTGATATTTCGCGGAGTTGCGGAGAGTGGTTCTGAGTACGAATACAACAGCACGGCTTGCAATGCCGTGCACCATTACATTCGGAGACTGAATTCTCTACCCTAACGGGGTAAATCAGCGCGCATCCAGGCCCGCCACCTCCACGCGCAGACGCTATTCGAATTCCCGTTTGTTTGGCCTCAATTCCCGTTTGTTTGCCCCTTCTCATTTACCCGAATTCCCGTTTGTTTGGCTGCAATTCCCGTTTGTTTGACCCCACTGCTCCCGAATTCCCGTTCGCTGCTCGGCCAGCCACTCATCGTCTCTGGCCAGCTGTTCCGGATTCCCGTCGACGTTCGTGAACGGGAATTCGGAAGGAGCTGGGTGTCTACCGGCGAGAAACTTTTGAGGCACATTCGTTGGGACGGTCCTGCTGTTCGGAATCTCACGGAGGGCGAGTCGTCTCTCGGTTCCTACCTCCCCCTGGACGAGGCTCAAACGTACGCGTCGTAGAGGTATCTGCGTGCGGGCGAAAGCGATTTACGAGCTCGACTTCATGGAGTACGTATGACTCACCCAAGGCAAGGTCGTGGATCGCTGTCTTCCGCGCCCATTCGCGCCGCTACTCCCGACACGCAGAGGAGCAGGAACAACAACGTGAGCCCTGCGCGGGTGCAACGCCACTCGGCTTGTTGAACCCATCTACCCGCACGAAAAGATTTCCGAACTTCCTCGCGTGCGGATATATGTAGTTTTCTGGTCAGCGGAGACGTACTTGGTTCCGAACCAATGCCATCTCGTCCATAGCACCCCTACAACGCCGTTCTTCAAGCCTGCTGTCATTACAATCCGGCATCTACGGTGGCACTGTGGCACCCCTCCTCTGCGGGACTTAGAATGTATTCTGCATTCTCAGTGAACAGTGCCTCGGGACCAAACATGCTCAATCGGCCTGCGTACGTCTCCCCCAGCAGGACCACAAATAATTCTCTTTCCATGACGTGAAAGCGAAGAAGGCGAAAGCTCAAGAGAAATCCCCACCCCAGCGGGGTCGCCGCTCTCTCTCTCTCGACGTGTCGATGACTTGTTTGTACCAACTGGATCAAAGCCTTGGAGCTGTTCTGCCGCGAAGCTGCAGGTCTGGATTTAGCGGGTACCCCCTGCTAGCAGCATGGTACACGCTGGCAACTATGTCAGAGCTCGCGGATTTGGGGGCACATATCCCCGACCTACCTTGAACCCTACCTTGAACTTAAACGATCAGCTGGGTTTCGGCTGACACCCGCTTGGTGCCGTGCCTGTCTCAACGTTGGACGATCGGTACCAATCCTCTCGTCCGTCCCAAGGTAAGGTTACGCGTACATCAATACTACACGAAGGCGTACACTGTCGTTCCAAACATGATTTCGATGGTGCGACGCGGATTATGATTTCTGGGATAGGCTGAAATCGGGGCACAAGGAGGTCTCCATGTGAGAATGAGAAAAGCATAGCTGGCGAACGAGGCCCCTGAATCTCGCGTTCAGCACGTCACTCCGCAATGTGGTGGGCAGGGCGTGAATTCCCAGCTCCTCGATCTCGTCCCCCTCCTGCTGGCGTTCCCTCAGGTAGTTCTCCATAACGTCGAAGAAATCATCCACCACGCCTTCTTCCTCATTATGCAGGATCCGGCGTGCTTTTTCCATGTACAAGTGAATATGCGCCAGACGCGGAAACAACGCGGGGTGGCCTGGGTCGAGTGCCCGTGCGTTCGTAGCGAGATGCGGGATGAGGTGCTGGGCGACGTCGTCGGTGATTTCCAGGCGTGCGACCTGGTTCATGTACTTGAACTTGTTTGCAAGTCCGGTGGTTGCCCAACAATCAGGAAGCTCGCGGCGCGCCAACATGTGTTCGTGGACGCGCAAAACTTCCACGTCTCCCAGGGGCAGGTAATGGTGCCACTCCTGAAGATAGGCCCTTTTTCGGGAGAGCTCGATACGAAAGTGGGTTGTGGGGGGGTTCTGTGTAATGGCATGTGCAGGGGCAAGAGGCCGGAATATGCAGACTATGTCATCACCGGCATGGACTTCTGCAAAGCGATAGACGGTGCGATGGTTGGCCATGAGGAACCGACAGGCCACTTCAGCGGCCGATGACATCTGCGCAGGCTCGGTGTTGTCGTGGTCGCACCGCAGGATCAGGCTGACTGGTCGACTGACGATTAGATGGGATAGGAAATCTATGCACATGGAGGGCGAGAGACCAGTCTTGCAAAATTCTTCCAGGTGAGGCAGCCTTGCAACGGTGTCCTTGTCTGCCTTGCAAGGTGGCGACATCGAGATACGCAGGATGAGCTTCTTTAGTAGAGGAGTGTCCTTCAGAGCTTCCAACACCTTCCGGTCATCGCTTGAGCACACGTCAAGGCATGTGAGGCTCCCGAACATCCCAGAGCTGCGCGGGAAGACGCGCCCACTGATTGTCAGGCGACGGAGCCTTGGGAAGTACCTCTGTAGGGAGGTCAAGTTCAATGGCGCCTTAACCTCCATGACGCCAAGCGTCAGAGACTCTAGAAGAGGTGCGTTGGTCCGGAGCTTGCGCATCGCGTATGAGGGGAAATTAGCCATTATGTCGTTGACAACAAGGGTGAGGGAAGCGGCCTGTCCGACATAAGCCAGCTTGCGCTTGATAGCATATTCGTAGCAGGGGGCATACTCCAGTGCCGGGAGGCCATCATCCCTCAAAACCGTGTCAACGATCAGATTGAGACCTAAGTTCTTGCTGCGCTGCATCATAAGCTTCACGAGCTCGGGACTGGAACTCGCGGGTTTGCGCCACAGATTCGGATGGCCCAGAGCAACATCGCGCCAATAGCGGCACACATGCGTGATGAAAATTATGCTGTCACTAAAGTTATTGCCGAGGACAAGCTGAAAGATTCTCCCTAGTATCTCTGGCGCGAGTCGGTTCGGTGGAGACAGAGAGTTGTGCTGCCAGTGAGGGGATGAGATGGATCAAACTCGGTCAGCCGTGCCGTCAATGAGGTAACTGTTTAATCTTACATTAACGCATTTATATCTTGGGAGGATGAATCCTTGTTTGTACTCGTCACACCACTGCGGAAAGACCCAATTGAGTCACTAGGAACAGTGAAAGTAGCGAGGTGAGGCGTACGGTGGAATTACGGTCCAGCGGCCGTCGACTTTCTTAAATTTCAGCTTCAACATAGCTGATCATACCAATGATACGGGAGTGTGTTGAAGAGAGGCGCCGGACTTGTGGTGTGAGGAAAGGTTGCTGCTAGTGTGGCCGCTGGCGAACTTGTGGCAGAGGTGCTGGAACTTCGCACGTGACCTGCCCACGTGTGCGACGTGCGTCTTCCCGAACTAGTACAGACCATTGTAGCGGCGCAAGCGCCACTCCCCGACTCCCGAGGCGGCGCGACGGAGGCTGCGAGGTGATAGGTGATATGAGTATTTAATAAAGCATCACATGGTAGTGTACATTTGCTATACAAAGAGTAGTTTGTAAAGCGTTCAAATGTTTCACTTTCACTGCTAGGATCATTGTTGAAGTTGCTATGCACGTCTATCTCTGCTACAGGACTGTCATCGTCAAAGTACATGAAGTGCCCTGATCTGGGCCTGCAGAAACAAAGAGCTCAGCAAGGTAAGCAGCGGTCGGTGACAGCCACGGCTACGACGCCGACGTCGGCCCGACGAGGATTTGAACTTATCACGGGTAGAGCGCGCGTAGTGGTTGAGCTAACGTTTTGTAACGGTCAAGGCGACCGAAACCGAAGCACAGACGTAGAACGGGAGACGAGTAGACGCTGAGACCGTACTGGCGTTGATTCGACGGGAAAAAGGGGAGAGTACAGGAAGCTACCGGTATAAGTGACCGTTTGACTACTCCTAACTGTCAGATACCGGAAACGGAAGCCGAAAGGTACATGGTAGATACGGTGTCATCCGCGAGGGCCGTCGGCCGAATACATGCTTGCACTGCGTTCTAGAGCCAGAGTCCGTTGTCTATCTAAGAGTGACCGTTAAGATAAACATAAGACAAAATAGGAAATAGTCCGTTGAAACATAGGAAGTGGCTGTGACGGCCTTAACCGTCACATTATCCCCCTTTTAAGGCGGACGGCGGCGCGAGCGGGGAGCACGCAAGGGAGGATCCAACCTCGCCGCAGGACGAGACACACGACCGGTGCGTGTCGTGGTCTGCGTCGGCGGTACGTACTCAGCGCGGGGATTCTGACGTACGACCAGCGGCGAAGGAGAGCGCGGGGCAGCGGAGGGCACGGCAGCGGAGGGCATGGGCTCGGAGGACGCGGAGGCAGCGGGCACGGAGGACGCGGAGGGCTCGGAGGAGGGCATCTGGGCAGAGGGAGGAAGCGGCAGGTCAACGGCAGCGGATTCGGTAGATAGATTATAAGATTTAGAAAATACTGTTGCATGGGGGCGCGGAGCGCGAGGATGACGCCGGTGGAATCGCTCGAGAAGTTCATCGCAGGTTGACGGGATGTCGGACAAGGGGACCCACGAGTTCTCGGACTCGGGCAAGGACTTCCACCGCACGAAATATTCGTAGCGGCGGCCAATCTTTCTGCAATCTAAAATAGAATGAATCTGAATGGAATCTTCGTCAGCGAGCTCGAAGGGCTGGGGAGCAACGCTGGAAGCGGTGGAGAGGGGATTGTGATAGGGTTCGAGAAGGGAAACATGGAAAACAGGATGGAGTCGAGAAAGATATGATGGTAACTTGAGAAGGTAGGCTGAAGAGCCAATCTTGCGAACGACGGGGTAGGGGCCGAGTCGGCGGTGATCTAGCTTCAGGGATGGTCGAGTAGTCTTGATATTGCGTCGGAGCAACCAGACAAGCTGGCCGGGTTTGAGCTCAGGCGCGGGGAGGACTTTCTTGTCATAGTACTTGGCTTGAAGGTCTTGGGCACGCTTGAGTTC